CTTGGTTTCGGCTCGGGTCATGATCTCGAGGTTCGTGGGTTCAAGCCCCACATCAGGCTCTGCATCAAGCTCTGTGCAAACAGCACAGAGCCTGCTTGGGATTCTCTCTCTCTCCCTCTCTCCCTGCACCCCACCCCATGTCCTCTCTTGCTCTCAAAATAAATAAACTTAAAAAAAAAAAGAACCCATCACGCTTTATCGAAATCAGTTGCTTGTCAACCTGTTGGGCTATAAGGCAAAGACTTTGCTGTTCCTTTTCATCAACATACCCTTGGTGCCTAGCAGGTGCTCCGCAAAGCACCGTAGAAAGGAAAACTTCATGGCGTCCTTCTCTCCCGCCCCCCCCCCCACCTGGTCCAAACCCATTTTGCAGTCTGCTGCCAGATCAGTATTCCAAGCGCTGCTCTGATCATTTCACTCCCTTGCTCAGAGGAGAGCTCTGCCTCCCCCCCGCCTCCCTTCCCCTCCCCTGGCCTTTCGGTACTCACAAGGCATCTTGGGAGCTGGTCCAGATGAGGGTGAAATCATCTCTGCCACTGGCTGTTTGAGCAGAGTCACAAGTTGCTGAAGCCCCGTAAACCTTCATTTCCCCACCTGTAAAATGGGCGCTGCCTTCGTAGAGATAGTTGCAGCGGGTAACAAATAACACATTTAAGCACCTGGAATATTGCAAGGACTTGACCTGTGAGAGTGGTCATTTGCTCCTGTCACAGGATTACCAGATTTAGTAACTAAAAAATACAGGATGCCCTTAGGTAAATCAGAATTTCTGAGTAATGACAAATAAATTTTTAGTATACGTATGTAAATATTCAAATTTAACCAGGTGTCCTGTATTTCATCTGAAAATCTATGGTCAGTCTGCAAATGTGGATCTACTTTGTCTCTGCCTGAATGCCCTCCACTCTTCTTCGCCCAAATCTGACACCCCTTTGAGGACCTGGGTCAAAGACCACCTCTCTTACTAGGTGTTCTCTGGCATTCTCAGATAACTATGATTTCTTCTTCCGTTCTACTCCCGAAGAGCAGACCAATCACGTGTCACTTAACACATGCCTCCTTCCACTCTGGAGATGTATGTCCTATGTTGTTTGCCGGTTTGTTGTTTTTTAAAATGTGTGTTTATTTACTTTTGAGAGAGAGAGAGCGGCAGAGAGAGAGGGAGACAGAGAATCTGAAGTAGGCTCCGCACTGTCAGCACGGAGCCCAACGTGGGGCTCCAACTCATGAACCATGAGATCGTGACCTGAGTCCCCATCAGACGCCTGACTGACTGAGCCACCCAGGTGCCCCTAAGTCCTGTGTTTCATACCCTCGGGAGCCTAGAAGCTTCCTAAGCACACAGACCACACCTGACCTCTGGTAGACCATTCCTGCTTTGTGCTTGTGAGGTGCCCGTTAGCTATTTGTTAAGTGAAAAATATGAGACTCGATTATCCCAAATCAGAGCTACTTTCTCTTTTCATTTTCAGAGTGGGTTTCCCCCCACTGCAATCCTGGAAATCAGTGGCACATGGGCATATGTGGCTTTTAAGAGACTTAATCTGAAATCTTCCAATTTAGGAGAAAAGGGGGAGATGTTCATCTTTTCCTCCCCTGGACAAAGGAACAGAGCTTACGCAAAAGAAAAAAAAAAGACTTAACTTTGGCAAACACGTTACAAAAGAATTATTACAGCATTAAACGAAAACGCCTCCATGCGAACAAAGTTCCCGTTTCTCGCGTGTGCAGCAGACAGCTGTATTTCTGAATCTCTTTGAGTAGGTTTGCATTGAAAAGTGGAAAAATGAAATCTCCCGGGCACTATTTGCCAAGGGATTTGCTCCCTTCCTTTGTCTGTTGTGCGAACCCTGGAGTGGCTGAAAGCTACCCATTTTGTCTCTGGGCTCAGGCGGAAGGGAGAAATCTTTTCCAAAAGAGGCCGTGAGATGGCGGGGCTCCCTGACACAGGATTTGGGGGAGGACAAAGGAATCGTGTGGGCATCTTATGAAGGGTGTCTGGATGGGGGCTCTGTCGTTTGGGAGGCATCTGCTCCCGCCATTTGCACATCTTACGCTAATCCTCTTCCGACTGCTGCCTTGCCTCGTGCTCCCTCCTGCCCACTTCGCCCGGCCCTCCCCGCCGTGCCCTCTGATGTCAGGCCCCCTCTTTTACTGCTCTAATTCAATGCCTTCTAATTGGATGCTCTGCCTGGCTAATGGCTTCTACCCAACTACAGGGCTGACATTTACTTACTTGATTTCCACCCCTCCCTGTGCTCTCTGGCCTTCTTTGTGAGCAGAGCTTAAATTAGGCAGGATTTCAGATCCGCACCTTTTTTATATTTCAGCCTGGGCCTCTTTCTTTTGGGAGGGGAGGTGGCTGAGTAGAGAAGAGCCTTGGAAATAGACCCTGGGCTGATCAATCCTGACACCTGCGGATAAAGCCAGCTTTGTGACTTATCTGTATCCCAGCACCCCAGCTGACTCCGGGCTGCCTTCCTTTGTTGGCTTTTTAACCTGGACCCCAGCCTGCTAATTTCAACCGGAACACGCTTTCTTAATTTCATCACCTAATATCAGGCCACTGCCAAAAGAGTCGTTTTCATCATCGGAAAGGTTCTGGGCTGAGCACCAGGCCTCCTCGTCCCCAGGATTTCACACGGGGAACTGTCATTTAGGGCTAACGTCCTCTTAATGGCCACCTGTGCTCCACGGTCCCGCCTCTTCCCTGCCCCCGGAGGTGAACATCATGCCAGAGCCTCCAAATATTTGCTTAGAACGGATCATCACAAATGGAGTCTCACATTATTCTCAGATTATGGATTGTGGAAGTCATGTATTGATAGGCATCGCCCCACAGGACAAACAGGGATCGGCAAGCTTCCCTTTGGTTTGGGGCCGTTCGGCACCAATCTCCAGCCTCACCCAAGCAGCTCTCCTTTAGGCAAGCGGTTTGCCTGTGGTCTGTAATCTGTCTCCAGGGATCAGTTTCACTTGATTCTTAATTACATTCTACTTTCCACCCCCTTCAGTCACCTTACACACACACACACACACACACACACGCACGCACATGCACACCCCTTCTCTTTAATTGGGCCGTAGCGATCTCTCAGGCGTTTCTAATGTGGCACACAGTTCTGATGGACAGCTGTCACCCCGGGCCAACGCTTCATTAGGTGTGACAGCCTGCAGCCAATGGTCACCATGCCACTCTGTTCAGGGGCCAAAGAGCAGCTCAGAGGGGAGTCTGGGAGACAAAGGGGTAGTTATTGCAGAGGGGCCGTGGTGATGACGTGGCTCCTGGGACAGATGTTTAAAGCAAACCAGAGTGCCATTCGCTCTCTCATACGAGGTTATGAAATGAGGAGCCGCGTCACTAACGGCAACTCAGCTACCCAGATGTTGCCTCGGCAGCTGAGAAATTGATGTTCAAGCCACAGGAAACATCCAGAATATTTTGAGTCTCCACAGGCGGCCCGTCACCTACATCATCAATATGGGCTGTGCATAAGCACCCCCTCCTTAGGCAACCCTTCTCTTCAACTTCTATCATTCACTCTCCTTCCTCTCTTTATGGGGAGAGGGCCAGTGCCTAAGAAGGGAGTGAGTATGGGGGTGCCTGGGCGGCTCAGTCGGTCAAGCGTCTGCATCTTGATCTCAGCTCAGGTCCTGATCTTACAGTTCGTGAGTTCCAGCCCCGTGCCTGGCTCTGCACTGACTGAGCGGTGTCTGCTTGGGATTCTCTCTCTCCCTCTCTCTTTGCCCCTCCCCTGCCCTCTCTCTCTCTCTCTCAAAATACATAAATAAACTTAAAAATAAAAATAAAATGAGGGAGTGAGTATTGCCCGCATTGAAATGTTCATGACTGACAAACCTAGTTACCTAAACTCACGTAAAAATCCGGGTGTCATTTATATACAGTCAAATCCACAGTTGGATGGTTTTTGACAAATGTTTATACCCTTAGAGCCACCCCATCAAGTATGATCTCATAATTAATCCTCACATTTAACTCCCATGAGACAGACTGGTGTTACTATCTCAGTGTTATTGCTGAGGAAACAGAGGACCAGGAAGACTGAAAACAGTAATAACAATGGCCGTCACTATATGCCGGGCGCTGTTCTAAGGGCATCAGACACATTCCCCCCCTTTAACCCTCTCCGAAACCTCACTGGTCCCATGTTACAGACGAAGAAACTTGCCCCTGGTTTCACAGCTAAAGAGTTGGGGGAGTGGGTATCTGGTGTTCAGTTTACATTCTTACCCCAACAGTTCCTGCTCAGAGAATACAAAAATGTTCCCCTTGTTAGATCCTCTTTTCCTCCAGAGAGACCATCGCCCTCCCATCCCCCTAAGCCCCCCATCCCCCCAGCCCCCCCCCCCCACACAACCTCAAAGTCCTAGAAAGGAGAAGCACATGTACCACATCTGTGTCAGCCCTGCTCGCCTGCTTTTTCTCCAGTCTAGACGCTCTGCTTAACTTCATGGACAGGGGAAGCCAGGCTTAAAAGGCAGCCTTGCTTTTTTTAATCCCTTGAAATACTGGACTTTTCATCTAAGAAACTTCTGTGAGCCATCCCTCCTAGCAAAGTGATCCAAACTGCCCTGAAGGGTTCAGCCTGACCTGGTAGAACGTGTCTGGCCTTGCCAACGATGCTGAGTGTTTCTGAGGGAAGTGCTTACCCTGTCTGAACGCTGATGCCCCATCCAAGCATGGAAAGGCAAAGGTATGCATGGGTGGCTATTTGGGGCACAAAAAGGTCACCCCACCACCGGTGCCTTTTGCCCACAGCCCCCCACCCCCACCCCAGAGGGAGGAAACGTGCCATCAATGGACTAGGGCCAAGGTGGGCGTTTGCCCGGTGCAGAAGCGCCCTCCCCACTCTCTCTTGCTTCCATTCTCTCCCATCTGGCAGAGGAGTCCGGCTCCCTAAATCTTCTTTTTGTTGGTTAGTTTCCATGGCAGTTATTGTCTGTGTGTGAGAGCGTGTCCGCCCCCTCACCCTCTCCCCTTCCAGAGCGGGCCCTGGCGGCTCAGGCGCGGCCGCCGGGGAGGCAGGCAAAGACGCCAGGGCTCTGGCCAGTGTGCTGGGGTCCTCTCGGTGGGGGGTCAGGCCTCCTGGAGCTCAGGGGTCCCCGAGCCTCCCTCCGTGCGTTTGGGGTGGGGCCCTCTGCCGCCGGGCCTGGCTATATCCCAGCTCCTTGGCCAGAGGCAGCAGCCGTGGACTTGTGAATTGTGGAAGAAGCCCTCAGGACCCTGGGGATCCTAGGAGGAGCCTCGGAGCCAACCCCTGAGGGACCCTCTGCAGCCCCTTCCCCTCCTTTGTCTTTGGCAGATGATCACCTGATATCCTGTCTCCCCCAGGGTCAGGTAAGTTTCATTTCTATCTGTCTGTGCCGAGTGGTGCCTGCCGCTGGGGAGACAGGCAGTGGGCTAACGGGGTGGGGAGGGAGGTGGGGGGGGGGACGGCTCGGCCCAGACAGGCTGGCAGGAGATGGGGAGAGTGGGGAGAGGAGAGGGTCTCAAAGCGCCTTTCTTCCTCAGCTGTGCCTCTCCGGCTTTGAAGTTCAGGGCTCCTTTCCAGCCGGTTTTAACCCAGATAGTAAAATGCAAAGATCAGTGTCTAGGGCACAGAATGACTGACATACAGCCAATATCCAGGACTTCTGGCTTCTGGTCTGAATTCAGTTCCCGGTATTCAATATTGACTACATACAAGTCGTCGTGCTTGGCTCTGGAAGAGCAACACGAATGACCCGCGACACGGTTTCTGCTTTTAAATGCTTTCCACCTGGTGGGAATGATAGGACGTCTACACAGATGGGTATGAAGACTCCCGGGTCAGGCACGCTGGGTTCGGTACCCTACTCTGGATGCATGACCTTGGCCAGGTCACTTAGCCCCTCCAGTCTCCGTTTCCTCACCTGTAAAATGAGGATGATAATAGTGCCTGCCTTCCAGGCTAAATTCCGCTTGCACACACTCATAAAATTTAGGTCAGTTCATGACAGTAACAACCGCCATACACTTGTTAACTATTATTACTGTTATAGAAATTAAGGGGCACCTGGGTGGCTCAGTCGGTTGAGTGTCCGACTCTTGGTTTCAGCTCAGGTCATGATCTCCGGGCGTCACAGTTTCCAGCCCCGTCTCAGGCTCCTCGCTGGCTGTAGGGAGCCTGCTTGGGACTCTCCCTCTCTCTCTCTGCCCCTCCCTCCCTTGATCGCACTTGCTCTGTCTCTCTCAAAATAAATAAATAAACTTAAAAAAAAATGTTTTCAATCCTATAAAATGTGTAAAGAATATCGGGGATGGTTATTACCGTGCAAGGCAGTCATTGAGTACTAACACAGTGGCGCTTACAGAAAGTTCTATGGGGACACGGGAGAGCTTACTGTCACCTGCAGGGATAGGGTGAGTCTCCTGGAGAAGGTGGCATTGAGGCCGAGCCCCGAAGAATGAGTAGGATTTTGACACGCAGGAAGGAAGGTATGCAGCAGAGAAGCACTAAGCCAAGGTGCGGAGGCAGGAAAAGAGAGGCCTCCTGGCAGCCAGCTCAGTGAGCACCTTGCCTGGGGCCCAAGCACGGAGCCTGGTCAGAAGCTGGGCGGCACTTTGGACTCCCCAGCAACTTGGGGCCAAGGGCAAGTTAGAGACCCAGCCTGGGAGCCTGAGACCAACCAGGGTTCCGGTCCTGGCTGAGCTCCCACCTGGGTGCTCTGAGGCTAACCTTTTCACCTGCTCCAGGTTTGTTTCCTCACCTATGAAAGGGGAATATTGAAACTTGACTTCCCTCCCGATCTTACTTACTATCGTGACTGACCATCGCATGGGAATATGACATTTTAAATCAGTAGGTAAAATGCAAAGTCCTGTTCTTCAAGATGAAAGAGAATTCGTGGACCATCTACACGGCTCTGGGGGAAATGCAAAGGACTATATCATTTAACGAGGAGGCTTGTGAAAATCATCTAGTACAATGCCTGACTCATAATAGTAGCTGAATGATCTCTTTCATAATTGATTGGTTGGTGGACTCATTCAGTCATTCATTCAGGGTTCTTGGAGTACCCACCACAGGCTCGGTGATGGGAAAGAGGTGTGCCCAAGACAGGCATGGGCCCTGCCCTGAAATGCTTACAAGCAATTCACGAAACTGGCAACCTGAGGGTGTCCCTGTGCCCCACACTAGCAGCTTCCATCCCGCTGGCCGTCTTCTGGCTTCTTTCAAGGATTATTGCTGTGAGACAATTGTTGTGGATTATTGCTGGGTTTTTTTTTTTGGGTTGATTTTAGGCTCCCAAGACACTATCCCCATGGGTCTGCAGAACACCTCCTCTCTGCCCTCTGCTGGCGGGGAGTTGTAAGTGCTTCGCAGTAAACAGCTCAACATCCATTACCCCTCCACACCAAGCGTTCCGTCTGCCTTCCATCACCCCTGAGATGAACTGAAGTGCCTTAATATTTAAAAAGGAATGAATCTGTAATTAGCACCTTAACATTATATCAGGGCCATTCCGGAGGCTTTCTATTTAAATGCAAATTGAACCTTCCTGAAGAAAAGCTAATAAGTGATGAATAGATAGCAAGAGAGGAGGAAGCAGGCAGGAGGAGGGAGGAGGGGCAGATGTGGAGTCGCCACTGGGGCCACTTTGTTGCTGCCTGTGGACCACACTCCCCTCACCCAGAGACCAGGCGCGGGGCACCTGAGGAGAAGTCCGGGCACCTAAAGCCTGAGTCTCAATTCCCCTCTTTGTTCAGGGGGTGGATCTCCAAACCAGCAGCCACTTGGGTGGGCCCTTCGGGGGCTGCTGGAGGTCATCTCAGAGTCATGGTGGCCTGGAGAGGATACGGGCTTCGGCTACAGCCAGACTGGGGTTTGAATCCAGGATCCTCTTCTGAGTAGCTATAAGATCTTGGCCAATTTCCTAATCCCTCGGAGCCTCCGCGCCTTCACAACGTAAGCGGCTGTTAGTGCTCGTTCCTCTCAAGATTGCTGTAAAGATTATGCGATAAACAGAAAAACGTGCCTGGTATACAGTAGGTGCCTAACAAATGTTAGTTCCCTACCCTTGTCTCGAGATCTGGCTGGACCAATTTAACCGGTCAAGGTGAGAAGCAGGTTCTCAAGAGAAAGGTGGCATCCACGCTTTCCCTTCAAATAACCTAGGCGAGGGGTTGGGGAACACCAACACTTTCTGTAAAGGGCCAGATAGTAAATATTTCATGCCTGGCGGGCCATATGCTCTCTGTTGCAACCACTCCACTGCACCGTTGTAGCGGGAAAGCAGCCACAGACACCACACAAGTGAATGAGCGTGGCTGTGTTCCAATATAACTTTATTTATAGACACTGAAATGTGAATTTCATACAACTTTCATGCATCACAAAATATTTTTCTTTGGTTTTTTGTCCCCCCCCCCCCCCGCAAACATCTAAAAATGTAAAAACCATTCTTAGATCACTAGCTGTACAAAGACAGGCGGCGAGCTGGGTTTGGTCTGTAAGTAATCGCTCCCCGAAGGTTTGACAAGAGACCTTCACCTGTGATTTTGTGGAGTCTACACCAGGGGACGTCTCAGAACATAACTCCTAAGGCTGGGACTAATGGAGAGGGACGGCATCCAAGGAAGCAACGAGCCCTTTCTGGGCCAGGACCACCAAGGACAAAAGGACACATAGGGTCCCTGGTGCTGGTCTCTGTTGGGGTGCCAGCCATTAGGTCAGGGCACGAGTACAGGTGTCATTCTACTTTTTCCCAGTGATGTCCAGGAAGGAACCAGTAGCTCCTTGGGCACCGAGCCGGCCGACACATTCTCCTGGTGACAGGCCCGAGCCCAGCCTTGGGAGGAGGGGGAATGTGACACCTGAAAGAGATCCAGCCTGGGAGCCTGAGACCAGGGTTCTAGAAGGGGGTTCAAGGGCTCAGACCCTGCTGCTCTCTCCCCAACCAGGAGAGCGGTGAGGGTTCCCCGGGCATCTCAGCCCACCCCAGGAGTGCCTGCTGGTAAGGATGGGCAGGCCCTCTGATTCACCTGAGACTTGGCCTGTCTCCCCCCTTTCCTGGGCTCTCTGACACCTGTCCTTAGAGACACACACAGAGCGCTCTTGCAACTAGTCCCCCATGCCTCCCCACCTCCTCTCTGTCTTTAGCACAGAGAACACAGGTCACCACACCAGATGGCAACCTCACTGTTGTGGCAGATTGCCGGGCTCCCGGGAGAGGTGGGGGTTAAAGCAGAGCACTGGAGGCTGTCTGTTCCCCAGTCCCCACCCCTCTTCTTTAACATGCCTCCACCCGGCCCCTTCTCCAGAACCTCTGGGGAGGAGGGCCTGTGTGCGTGCACGTGCTTGTGCACATGCATGTACGTGTGTGCGTGCCCGTGTGTTTGTGATGTGAAGCAACAGGGAAGAAGGGGAAGGGGTGAGGAGAGACCGTGCCACAGTGAAAGCCACTCTGTACCTCTGTAGAGGCCCCAGCCACGGTGGACGGGCCCCTCTTCCCAGCTGGAGGGTGAACTGGACCCTGCCTCTCTGGCACCCATCAAGGGGCTCTTGGAGGTGAACAGAAGCATGGTGTGGAGAATGAGGCCTCTCTGTTTTATTTATATATTTTTATTAAAAAAAAATTTTTTTTTTAACATTTATTTATTTTTGAGAGACAGAGCATGAGCGGCGGAGGGGCTGAGAGAGAGGGAGACACAGAATCCAAAGCAGGCTCCCAGCTCTGAGCTGTCAGCACAGACCCTGACGCAGGCCTCGAACCCACAAACCGTGAGTTCCTGACCTGAGCCGAAGTCGGAGGCTTAACCGACGGAGCCACCCAGGCGCCCCCGCTCTGTTTTAGAAGCTGCCCCTGGGCCTGGCCAGAAGGGAGAGGCCGAAGAGGGGCAGGGCCTCTGAGGGTGACTGTTCTCACCTCCTGGCTCTCTAGTGTCATCTCACAGCAATCCAGCCTGTGGGCCCCCCACCGCCCCTTCCCAGCCCCGTGAAGGGGCCAGAGCCTTGGATCCCATCAGGCTCGGACAAAATGGTGCTAACAGGCAGAGAAAGAAGGAGAGGCGGGCCCTGAGAAACCCTCCTCCCAAAGTAAGTAGTAATAACCAAATAGAAGCCAGTAATGTTCCTTAGCAGGTGAGCAGCCTCCATCTGGAAATAAGGGGAGCCTCTAAGGAGTGGCCCTTTTCTCTCCTGGGTGGAAATGGGACAACCACCTCACAGCCCAAGCTTTTGTCCTCCAGATAAGATAGTTTTGCCCCTGGGAGGCCTGGGGGGACTCAGTCGGTTAAGCTTCTGACTCTTGATTTAGGCTCTGGTCATGATCCCCAACGTGCTTCGAGAGAGACCGAGCCCCCCCCCTCAGGCTCTG